TGAAATTTCTGATTTGTTTAATTTAATTCTATGTGAAATAAATTGAATGTTTTTCTAATTCATTTCGAATTGAATTGCATACTTTTTATGAATTTTTTTAATTTGCCAGATTTTCTTTTGTGCTTTCTTTTGAGAACAAAAAGGGGAAAGTTATTAACAAATCAATGTTAACTGCTTAATATAAAATAATACAAAATAGTGCCCTGCGGGAATCATTCAATTTTTGTTTTATCATAGTATGCCATGAAATTTCTGATTTGTTTAATTCCATTCAATGTGAAATAAATTGAATGTTTTTTAAATTAATTTCGAATTGAATAAATGAATGAATAATTTTTATGAATTTTTTGAATTTATCAGAATTTTTTTGTGCTTTCTTTTGAGAACAAAAAGGGAAAAGTTGTTAACAAATCAATGTTAACTGCTTATGCGGTTATTCCACTACATTGGTCGGCTCATTCATTAGAACAATTTTTTCTCAGCCTATACGATTTTACGTAGGTGCGAGCAAGACAGATATATGTCAGCTGCAATGAGCAATTAATGAGCAAAATTTTAAAAACCGAAGGCCACCATTTTATTTTTTTTTGTATGAGCAAAATTGAATCTAAAAAGTACAATTTTGCTCATTTATTAGAGCTACTGTAAATCGGATCTTGCTCGCACCTACGTAAAATCGTATGGGCTGAGAAAAAATTGTACTAATGAATGATCCGAACGATGTAGTGGAATAACCGCATTAGAAAATAAAATTCATGCAGATCTAATCACAAAATTAAGGCCCTTTCTTCTTCAAAAGAAATTCAATTAAACTCAAAATTCAAATACATTCAATTCTATTAAACTCAAAATTATAATTAATTTATTAAAATAAAATAAAAAATTCAAAATAATTCATTGAATCCATTCATGCAGGGCTTTATATTATAAAATCTATTACTCACTTTTCGCTCGCCAGCAGCATCTTGCCCATCATGGGATCCACTGGAAACTCGGCCATTCGTCGGCCCAGTTTGGTCAGCTCCCCGTGGTGATTCAGTGCACCCAGAGCGTACAGCTGCTCCAAAGCCAAAACCAGCGTCTCGTGCGGCGGAGGATCCAGGAAGTCAAAGTGTATCAGATCGTTGATGCCCAGAGCCTTAAGCATGAGCACCGCATTGCCCAGATTGATGCGCTGTATCTCCGGAACCGTGTTATCCTCCAGTTCGTGCTTGTAGGCCCATGCTGTGTACAACCGGAAACACTTTCCTGGTGCTGTGCGACCCGCTCTGCCCGCCCGCTGATTTGCAGAGGCCTTGGAAATGGGCACTACCATCAGCGACTCCATGCCGGTGCGGGAATTGAAATTATTCTGCTTGGCGAACCCGGGATCAATCACATAGATGATATTATCGATGGTCAGCGACGTCTCTGCTATATTCGTGGCCAGGATAACTTTTCGGGCGTTCGGCGGCGTGGGCTCAAAGATTTTGGCCTGCATATCACTCGGAAGATTGGCATAGACGGGAATAACGATGAGCTCGCGTATTTTAGAGCCCAGCCGCTTAACGCGATCCTGCAAGACCTCCTGACACGTCTCGATCTCATCCTGACCCGTAAGGAACACCAAAATGTCGCCCAACGGTTGAGTGGCATGGATCTGCAACACTGAAACGCAACATGCATCAATGTAGTCGGCTTCCGGGGCCTTGGTGTAAAAGATATCCACTGGATAGCGACGACCGGGTATCCGAAAGATGGGAGCATCATCGAAGAAGGCCGAGAACTTATCCGCATCCAGAGTGGCACTGGAAATGAGAAGCTTCAACTCCGGTCTAAATCGAGCAATATCCTTGACCAGGCCAAACAAAATGTCCGTGTGCAAGGTGCGCTCGTGAGCCTCATCGATAATCATTACACTGTAGGAGGCGAGGTCAGGTTCCGAGAGAAACTCACGATGCAGCGTGCCATCAGTCATGTACTTAAGAATCGTGCGATCCGAGGTGCAGTCCTCGAAACGGATGCTGTAGCCCACCTCGTTGCCCAGCTTCACGCCCATTTCCTCGGCCACACGCGCTGCCACCGACATGGCGGCCACTCGACGTGGTTGCGTGCAGCCGATCATCTTCTTGTCCTTGGTGAAGCCAGCGTCGACAAGATACTGCGGCACCTGGGTTGTTTTACCCGATCCCGTTTCACCCTCGATGATGAGCACCTGGTGCTCCTTGACAGCAGCTATTAGATCGTCCTTGAAGGGATATACGGGCAGGGATCTTCTCGTCTCATCCAAGGTCAAACGCTTGCGTTCCTTCTCCGTGAGTTCTGGCTGGCGGCTAGAGGATTTCTCGCGACTTCCGTCCAGAGTCAGGGCCTGGATAAAGTCAATCTGATCGTCCAGGAGCAACTCGTACTCTTCCTGCGCCTTGGCATCCTTCGCACCGAACTGGAAACGAGCCGAGGCCAACTGCTCCGCCTCCCATTTCTTCTGCTCCGAGTTCGGTTGCTTCTCGAAGTCATCCACCTCAACATATTCAGCTGAGAACGAAAATAATATATATAATTTTAATTTAAAAGTATGTTAAGAATTTAAAATGCCAAGCAAAGTTTAGAAAAAAATTTAAAACAACTTCATAAAAATAAATATAAATTATGATAATTACTCCGCATGTTAAACTAAAAGTAGATTTTAAAACTAGAAAAATTATGGTAATTTTATGTTTAAAATCTTCTTGTGGTTTAACATATGGACAAGATACGGACAATACGGACATACAGCTCTGCCTCTTTAATTCGAAAAGAAAATAATCAATTTTCTTATTAATTTCTAACCGTTAATTTATGATAAGTACTTTTTTTCATATTCCTCCGCATATTAAACTAAAAGTAGGTTTTAAAACTAAACAAATTATTGTAATTTTGTGTTTAAAATCTTCTTAGGGTTTAACATACGGACAAGAAACGGACAATACGGACAATACGGACATACGGCTCTAAGTCTCTTTTATTCGAAAAGAAAATAATCAAGTCTGTTATCAATTTCTAACCGTTAGCCTATGATAAGTACACTTTTTCATATTCCTCCGCATGTTAAACTAAAAATAGACTTTACAATTAAAAAAAATAAAGGTAATTTTGTGTTTAAAATTTTCTTATGGTTTAACATACGGACAAGATACGGACAATACGGACATACGGCTCTAAATCTCTTTAATTCGAAAAGAAAATATTCATTTCTCTAATTGTAAGGTCAAAGGACACAGTGGACTCACATCGCTCGCCCTTCTTCAAGTCCTGTGGCATATGATATCGCTGCACCCGCTCCAATTCACGCGCCTTTTCATGCTCCTTGGCAATATTCAGCAGTTGCTTCTTGTACTGGCGCTCTTCCTTCTCCCGTTTAGTGAGGCTAAAAGGAAACCAAGATTATAAATAAGGTTACAGGTGGGTGATTAAACCATAATCCTACACGCTCTCATCAAAAAGATATTCATCGTCCAGGATGTCCGCCTCCAGCTCGGCCACCTTGTCGTCCTTGCGCTTCTCCAAGTACTGGCGACGTGACTGGAGACGCAGGTGGGGCACGATCTTGTCCCGATCCTCGTGCTCCAGCTTCAGGCGCTTGGTGGCCTCCTCGATGGCCTTCCGCCCGCCGGTGGAATCCACCACCTTGCGCGTGCGATCATCGTCGCGCTGCTTCAGCCTGTTGGCGAACTCATCGCGCTCCTGCAGATCCTTCAGGCGCGACTCCTCCTCGCTGTCCGGCTCCTCGGCGCTGCTGCTGCTGCTGGCCGTGCGCTTTCGGTTTTTGCCCGACATTTTCCCAATTTTCACTAATAAACAAACGAAACCGGCGAAAACAATAGCTCAGTCGATAACGTCAGTGCTGCCAGGCCTAGCTAGGAATCTAGATAGTAATCTAGGTAGGAATCTAGCTAGTAATCTAGCTAGTTTGAGGAATGGAAAGCAAAATAAGGGCCGTCAGGATATAACGCAATACCCGAAACTGTTGAATTGCTGAAAATTCAACAGAAAATTTTAGCAATTAAGGGAACGACCCAAAATGGTTTTTGTTGAATTTTTAAACAGCTGTTATTTGTTGAAAAGATTCACGGAACTTAGGGCCGGTTTCTCGAGTGCCGGCTAACATTTCTCGAACAGATAAAGTCCCTGCTAAGGCATTTTTGCTTTCTCGAGCACCAATGTGAGAGCTAACTTTGACAGGGACTCGGAGTCCCTGTTAAGCGTTTTCGACTCGATAGAATGACAGCTGATTTCCCAAAGCCAACTAAGAAGAAGAAACTAAATCACAGCTGACTTTTCCTTTGAATTATACCCAAACAGCTGATGAAATAATCGAAGCACGCCATTTTTTGCGCTTCACAGCACAATTCTGTGCGTTAACAGCACTCTGTAATTGTTTCTCGTTCAGATAAATTAAAGCAGTCGAGAAAGCCGATTTGCTTTTACGAACAGTTTATCTGGTATTTAAGTTTTACGAACAGACAGCTATCAGGGACTTTGACAGGGACTCGAGAAACCGGCCCTTAAAGTGGTAAATTTGAATTTTTATGTTTAGTTACTGTCTAAAATTGTTAGCAAGGTAAGAAGAACTACTAAAAGACCTTCTAATTTGATTTTAAAATAAGTAATGTATGTAAAATGGTGCAGAGTTGTCATGACTTATAGTAAAATAAGGTAACAAATCTGGTTTTCAACAACTCAACAAAATTTTCAACAGTCTCGAGGCTGTTGAATTGCTGAAATTTCTGAAAGTTGACTTTGTATGGAACAGCTAATAAACAGCTGACCAAAATTCAACAGTTCAGCAATTCAACAGTTTAGGGAATTCCTGATTGTAAAATTACCTTTAAAAATGTTTATTTTATGTTACTCTTCATACATTTTTAAATTTTCCTCCTTACAATCTCCAATGCAATTCTAGCTATCTTTAACCCTCTATAAGCTACTTATATTGGGCATCACTGTTCACTAAACAGCTGTTTTTAGTTTACAATTCACCTCAATTTCGGACCATGTCGCGCCAGTTGAGTTTTAATCCGCGAAAGGAATACGAGTTGATTGAATATCCCGGCAAAGTGGTAAATCCGGATCGGATGATAGCCACTCTGGGCGGGATTATCAATGTGTCCAAGGTAAGTGTTGTAATCTTTTTTTGGCCAGTTTTGTTGATCATTCACATCCAATCCCAGGTGCTTGGCGATGAGGTAAAGCGCATGGCGTTGCACTTCCATCCGGAGAATCCCTACAATAAACCCACTTTTGGGGACTGCACGGATAAAACTGGAGTTCTGCTTTCAATAACTGTGAGGCGTCACAAAAAGGACAAGCAACGGCCTCCGGAATACTTTGTCCGGGTTTTGGGCCACTGCAGCAGGAGTTTCACCTTCGAAAGTGAGTTTTGGAATTAAAGGGAGGATAATTATACTAATGTTAACTCCTCTTTCAGCGCTTTGTGATTTCCAATACTTGCCTCTTTGGTCCACACCAAAAAGCGACAATGCTAAGGCTGCCCAGGAGCTCACCTACGCTTTGGATCAATTAAAACCCAGGGATACATCCGATTTGGACTTCTTCAAGTGAGTAATTACTCTCGTGACCCTTAACATTAAGCCTCGAATTCTTCAGTTCAAAAGAATATAATTTTTAGTAGGCAGTAATTTAAAAATCGCGAATTCTTTAGTTGAGGAGGATAAAATGAAGATCCTTTATTATTTAATCTATCTATGATCCTAGAATTTATTAATTTCGTTTATAATCATGAATAATACATTTATTTTATTTTTTTAAAATCGAACTTCAAATTAATATCTCTACTACAAATGTAAAATCGGGAATTCTTCAGATCACAAAAATATCAATTGCTATTTGCTATAAAACAATATATATACAATTCAAAAGAATATCATTTTAAAAATCGCGAATTCTTTAGATGAGGAGGATAAAATTAAGATCCTTTATGATTAAATCTTTATATTAAATCTATCTATGATTCTAGAATCTATCAATTTTGTTTGTAATCATGAATAATAAATTTATTTTATTTTTTTTTAAGCTGACTTCAAATGAATACCTTTATTACTAATGTAAAATCGCGAATTCTTCAGATCACAAATAATAGTAATTGCTATTTCGCGAAATATATATAAAAATTTTCTTAAAACCGGTGTTTTCTTCCCACAGACGACGTCACAATCAGGTGCTGGCCCTGCCCGAATTGTTCACCCACGTGGACGTGGTCTACTCGGGCACCTATCGCATCGATGGCTCGGAGGACGGCCAACAGGAGGTGCTGGGCGTGCAGTCCAAGTCCACGTACGACAACCAGGGCGTGGTCTCGTTCAACATGGTGGACAGTTTTCCCACCCAGGCGGACTCGCAGAACCTCAAACGCCTCAAGGTGAAGTACGTTTCCGATGAGCAGTTGACCCTGGTCAAAAAGCTGTTCGATGACTGCCCCATTTGGACCAGGATTGCCCTGCAATATGAATCCGGCCTGACCAACGACAAGCTGAAGTGCATCACACCTTCGCTGGCGTTTTACTTTAGCAACGGTCCGTGGCGAACTTTATATGTGCGCTTTGGCTACGATCCTCGCAAGGATTTCAATAGTCGCTACTACCAGACCTTCGACTTTCGGCTGCGATTCAGCACCGGCCTCTCGGAATTTGTGTATGCCAAGAAATTCGTGAAGCAACGCAGGGCGGCAAATGTTCCCTTTGCTCCTATCGAGGATCGCGTCTCCGATTTGGTCCAGGACATTGACTATCCCTACCTGGATGAGCACAAGTTGCCACGTTCTCGGCAGTGCATGCTGCGTTACTGCGACGTCCGGATGACGAAGATCCAGGAAATGCTGGAGAAGATTCCCACACCGCTTACCGGAGCCGTTTGCAATGAGCGAACCGGGTGGCTGCCGCCAGGATTCGATGCCCAGGTGCGACAAATTGTGTGTGCCAGCATTAGCGAACTGTTGCGCAATCATTACCGCAAGGAGAACCTCACGGCGGAGGTGGAAGCGGTCACGCAAGCCGACGATGAGGAGGAGGACGAGCCCGAGGACGAGGAGACGCAGGAGGAGGATATGGAGCTGGACGAGACGCAGGCCATGAACAGCTCGGAGCAGTTCGTCGACAACGACATCGAGCAGCTCTTTGATAATATCACAAGCTGAGTCGAGCACTGACTGAAATAAATGTAGCTTAAGATTTTACTAGACTTAAACTATTGTTTATAGAATTTAAAAAAAAGAGTAAATTTTAAATCAAACTTATAATATGACCTCGGCTTTTGCATATTTGTCCATTTTTTGTTCGATTTTTACCAAAATTTCTAGGAAGGTGACACCTAGTATATAGTCATATTTTTCAAAGGTAATAAACTCGGATGCATATCGGAAACATGCAAAATATATGCAAAAAATATAAGCATAAAATATGCAAAATGTATGCGAAATATATGCAAGCAACTGGAGGCTCAAATTTTTAATGTAACTCTGGTATTGTAAGAAACCTTCATTAAAGACGGCAAGCAATTTAAACGAGCAGTGTGGCCGATAGGGCCAAAAACAATTCTGCCCCTTTTACTATTTTTGCCCCCTTTCCTTAAATTTGGAAAAAATTAAATATCTCAGAAATGACGAAATGGAACAAACCATTTTCTTCGGGTAAATTAGGTTGGCTATGAAATGGACAATCTTGAATAGTTCAGTTTATTTTATATTTTGCATATTTTATGCATATGGGCACTTCCAAAAAAAAGTCCACCAAGCCAAAAACTTTGAAACTTAAATAAAACATATTTCCACATGATTTTGCCCCGATATTAGTTTCTAATTAGTTGGATACTGAGCTTAACTACAAATTTGGAGTATAGTTTGATTATTTTTATGACAAACCCCACCAATATACGCAAAAATCAGTTTTTGGCTATTTTTTTGTTATTTTATGGACCTATCTTCTGTTGTAAATTTATCCTATAGGAATGCTAATATGTGACATTTTTCTGTACTGAATGCTTCATTCACATGCTAAACTATGAAGTTAAAAGCAAAACATCCAGCAATTGAGAGTTAGAGGTAAAGAAATCCGCTTTACAAAACAGTCGGAAAAAATGTCCCGAGCGACATTTCCCGAGCGAATGTGGTTGAAACTGCATAAAAAAAAAACGGCAAAGAATTTTTGAGTAAAACCAAAAGCATTTCACAGCGACATGTTTGAACAACATTCTAAAAAAAATCGCATTCAAATATTCCATCAGAATTTGCTAATTTCTGGTGTTGTATGAACTTCCCCGAAATCCACTTCTATTTTTGTCCCGAGCGAATACGGCAGTTTTTTACCGATATCTTAAAAACTAAAAGTGGTACAAAATTAAGATTTTTACCAAAAATAGAGCTTGGGAAGAGTGAAAAGAAAAGCCCATAATTAAAATTAAAATCCATTGTTTTACAACTTTTTTTCAACTTTAAAGGTGTGCAAATGTCCCGAGCGACATTTTGGAAGTGCCCATATGAAAATATGCCATTAATTTTAAACTATATTTTTATAGACACGAATTTTGGTGTTTTCGGAATTGATCCATCTTTATCCTATAAAAAGTATGTGTTCCAGCTTTAGAATCATTTTTATTCATTTCAATGAAGCGTAGGCGCGGCCTTTATTATTGGATAGGTATACAGATAAGTGTAATAAATTTCATTCTCAGTAGCAGAAGTAATAATTAAGCGTTGCAAGTTGTTATTCAACTGATATAAATGCTGGCTGATGGATGAACTGCTCTTCCCCAGCTTAAGGCTTGCATCTATCGAGGAAACGGGGATACAGGCAGACCTCGCGGATGTGGTAGCGGTTGAGCAGCCAGCAGAGGAAGCGCTCCAAACCCAAGCCATACCCGCCGTGGGGCAGAGTTCCGTAGATGCGCTGATCGGTGTACCAGTAGTAGGGCTTTGGGTCAATGCCCTCGCGTGCGTAGCCCTTGAGCAGCTCCTCGCTATCCCAGATCCTCATCGATCCGCCGACAATCTCGCCCACATTCGGCAGCAGCACATCCACGCTCTCGGTCAAACGCTGATCCTCCTGGCAGCGCTGCATGTAGAAGGACTTGATCTCGGCCGGGAAGCGGCACAGCATAATGGGCTCGTTAATCGTATCGGTCATCTTGCGCTCCGGAGCCTCGGGAATGTCCTCGCCAAACTCGTAGAAGCTGCCATCGTCCTTGGTCACGTTGTTCTCCTTCAGCCACTTGATGGCGTCCTCGTAGTTCATGCGACGGAACGGCTTCTGCGGCGGCTTGAAGTCGGGGTTAAGCTCCTTGACCAAATAGCCCCAGGGGGACTTCAAAACACGATCCACCACATCGCAGACCAGATCCTCCAGTCGATCTAGCAAATCATCGAACGTGATGAAAGGACACTCGGCTTCGACGTGTGAATATTCAGCCAAATGCCGCCGGGTGCGACTTTGCTCCGCTCGGTAGCTCTGCGAAATGGTGAAGACATCGCCCAAAGCGGGCAGACAGGTCTCCAAATACAACTGAGAGCTCTGGGTGAGGTACGCCTCCTCGCCAAAGTACTGCAGCTTGAAGAGCGTCGAGCCGCCCTCCACTTGGGTCTGCACCAAAGTCGGTGGCGTCACCTCGTTGTATCCCCGCTCCTCGTAATGTGCACGAAAGGCCTGCGTCACCACGGAACGCATCTTGAGCACCTTGGAGGTGTTCTCGCCGCGGATCATGATGTGCCTGTTGTCCAGCTGCACATCGGGCTGGGCTTCCTCGTTGAGAATGGCATCGGCACCGCCGGGCGGAGCCAAACCAATGAGTTCCCAGTAGTCCACGTTGAGTTCATGGCCACCGGGAGCGGTCTTGCCCTCGGGCACTAGTTTAAGGGTTCCAAACAGCACCACAGAGCTCTCCGTGCTCAGGGTAAGCGCCTCGTACGTCTGGCAAAGCTGATCGTTGAGGACGCACTGCAGGAAGCCGGTGCCATCGCGCAGGGTGATGAAAATGAGGGACTTGCCCTGACGCCGCAGGCGATGCACCCAGCCGTAGATCTTTACTCGAGAATCCCTATTGGCGGTGCCCTCGAGGATGCGGATTTTGCGGGCGGCCGGCAGGCTGGCATCCTCCGATATCTTCACCTTGCGCGCCTCCTCCAGATTCTGCTGACGCTTCTCGGCGTCCTCCGCTTCGCGTTGCTGCTTCTCGGCATTCTTGTGCGACTCCCGGACGAAGAGCTTCTGGATCTTCTTCAGCTGCGACTTGGCAGCCACTTCGTAGGGCTCCGCTGCATTCGGGTCCTTGCTGTCCACATAAATGGTGGGGAAGGGCTCCTTGCCCGCATGACGCATCGCCTGCAGGATGGTCTTGAACGGCTTCGACTCACTGCCGTCGCCCGACTCATCGCTGCCCTTCTTTTCCGACGTGAAGATAGCACCTGCACATGGTCGTACATATAAATATTGCACATTATAGATCGATACTTTTGGCGACTGACAACGTGGACGAAATAGTTGTCCTCTTGTTTCAGTGATAAATGGCATTCTTACCCAGGGTTAACTCGGCCAACTGGTCGGCGGGCATCTTGATTGATTTGTGACTAAGATTTTACTGAGAACAGGCCTTAAATCTCGTATAAATACGCACAAAATTGCATCAGCTTTGGGCCTTACACTTACAACTTTGCCAAAACGATACCCGGATACTCGATAAACCGATTGGCAGCCAGTGTTGCAAAACACCGATTAACTAAGCTTTAATAGCTAAGCCTTAGCGCCAATTTAAAAAATATTGAATTCCATAAACTGAAATATATATTCTCCAGACATTATGAACTTGTGCCCTTTTATGATAGTGAAATAGGGACAGGAAATGAAAAACGCTAAATTATAAACACAATTTGAAAGTGAACTTATGAACAATATTTAAATATAAATGACAGAGAAAATTGTAATATAAAATGCAATTTTCAATTGTCTATGAATAAGAACACAAGCCTACCAATCTTTATTATCCATTTATCCCATTTTTATCTTTATCCAGCATTTGTATAGAAATTTTATTTTTCTAGAGCTATTAATTTTAACAGATATCGTCACTGAGAGCTTTTTATCGATGATTACGGGTGGTATTATTTAGTACTTTTAGCACTAAGACAAAAACGTAAACAACTTGGAAAATAGGAAAATGCCCTCGGAAAACAGGTGATTATCGCTCTAAAGACCCCGAAAATAAGAAGACTTCATAGCTTTAGTATTAATCCTCCCCCGTAGAATCAAAATCCTGCCCAAGGCGGTGGTTTGCGAGGAGAGCAATCTGCGCGGTGACATCACCTTCTCGTCGGGCTGTGTGGTTCATCCGAGTGCCACCGTTATTGCCGACGCAGGACCCATAATAATTGGTGAAAACTGCATAATCGAGGAGTATGCCACCATAGCCCATCGCCTGGAACCGGGAGCAGTGTGGGATGTGAACAACATCCTGAGCATTGGCACCCACAATGTCTTCGAAGTGGGCTGCCAAGTGGAAGCCTCTCGGATTGGCGATAAGAATGTATTCGAAAGCAAATCGTTTGTGGGCCGCGGCGTAACCGTTTCCAGTGGCTGTGTGGTGGGGGCAGGAATTAAGATCCATACCAGTCAACTTCTGCCGGAGAACACCATTGTTTATGGCGAGCAGGGACTGCAGCGCGAGGCCATCGACAAGCAGGGATCGCAGACCCTTCAGATAGACTTCCTCCGCAAGGTCCTGCCCAACTATCATCATCTCCGCAAACCCAACTACGATCCCAAAAAGGCGCGCAGCGTTGTCTAGTTTGTAGTATATTCTATATTAATATAATCCCTCATGTATTCTCCACCTTTACGGCATTAAACTTGGAAATCTCCTGTTCAAACGTAACGATTGTGTGATCGCACAGTCCCTCCAGATCCTCCAGTCCCCGCTTGAGTATATCTACGGCCCTGTCTCGATGGGATTGGATGCGAAAGTGTAGATTCTGCTCGGTGGGATGGGGAATGGTGTAGCCACAGAAGTCCACCTCCGGATAGCGGGCTATAATGGTTTTCAGGGCATTTCCCAGCGTGTGACCCTCGTTGGTGAACACAAACGTCCGGGATCCTTCGCCGTTCTTCTCATCGCCAGCCAGCTGGTGAAATAATACATTTTTAATAAATAATTACAATTTACTTATTATTTTAATCACCTCTGCCAATGCTCCCATTTTAAATAAGTTTAAATATTTTTTCGTTTGTTTACAAAAAACGTGCAAGGCACATGCCACTACAATCGATTGGGGGCCTATCGATTGTTTGGCTTTTAAAGTAGCTAACAAATTTAAATAGCTAGAGCTACCTAAAAATAATGAAATAAAACCTAAATTTAATTTAATAAATGGTGTACATACATTTAAAATATATGTAAATGCATAAAAAGTACAAGAGTAAAACATCGCAGAACTTTGCAAATTTTGTTCATCCATGTTCTTGAATCCTACCTGAAAAAGTTTTTCATGTTTTCAATTTAGGTCATATTTTGATCATTAGCGATCTTCTGGTGACTTTTTAACTGCTTTTATATTTAAAATTAATTCAACCCCCGAGAGAAACACCGATGTCGGAATTTCCTATCGATGTATCGATACCGCAACGATGTTTCCACCACCTCTAGTTCTTCACGCGTTCTGACACGGACGCGGTTTTTGACTCAGCATTGAATTGGAATTGTGTGTGTTGTTTGTTAATTCGCTTCGTTCTGTGGCCAATTTTATTGGGGGCCAGCTGCGAAATCAGTTTTGTGCGGTGTGGGCCAAAAAGAAAAAAGTGTCGCAAACAGCCGCATTAGCATAATTGCAGGCCGCCTTTCGCATAAATGTGTGTGTGCTGGTTTGTTTGAAAGCATCAGCAGAAAAAGGCGGCAAAAAAGAGGGGCAGAGAGGAGGACAGAAAACAAAAACAAAAAAACTGCAACGGCAAACATAATTATTTTCGCAATGCATTCAACGTGAAGTTGCTCCAAAAACACCGACACTCGGCCAAAAGCGCATACAACGAAGAAACGGCACTTCATTTTTTATGTTTTTTGCATCAGGAATAAACTGCAATACAGGTTTGTTTTATTGCACACAATGTGCTTATTAATAACACCGTATAAATAACCTTTATTGAACAACACCGAAATGTCATTTCAATTTTTGTTATTGGCCACGCCCCCTTTGAGTCCCGAAAATTATGCAAATTCATGCAGCTCTTTTTTTTGCTCACACACACACAGGCGCGAACAGGCAGCTGCCTCTGCCGCTGCGCAGTCGACGTCGCAGCCGGCGAAGGCGGAAGTGATGGCTAAAAAATACCAGTTCAGAGGCTTTAACTTTATCGTTACTTTGCCTGCTGTTCTGTTTTTTCTGCTATTGCTGATACACTAAACTTTAATACTTGAGCAATTGTTAAAATTCCTAATTAGCACATTGCATTTGCATTTACAGTTTAGATTTCTGGGTATTGGATTATGCAGAAATTAATATTCTTAGGGCCGTTTTTGCGTCCGCATGTTAAATTTAAAGTGGGCTTTAAGCTCTTAGTTTCTAAACGTTTTTAATATTTTATCCCTACTTTAAATTTAACATGCGGACGAGAAAATGGCTTTTAGAAATTGGAAGATAATGACATTTCTTACAATAACATTAGTCTAATATGCGGAGTCGCCATAAAAATATGATTTAAAAAAAATAAAATAAAATTAGGCATAAAATTAATTTATTTTTCCAATGAAGAATCCGCGTTGCGTTCAAATTAAAGAAAAAACCCAACGCCGGACTAAAATTTAAATATACATAACTGGACACTTTTTCAAAAAAAACTTGATAAATTTTAAAAGATTAAATACTGAATGTATTTTTATAAATTTTTTAAGCAGTAGAATTGCTGTTAAAATTTTTGAAGGAATTTTCGACTTTAAAAATTAAGTTATTAATAACCGAAATTTTTATCAGGACCTTTAAAGCTCCTTGTAGTATGCAGCATTCTATCTCGAGTCCAGAGCATTTTGACTTTTTTCGGCCGCACTTTTAGCCAATAGTCACTGTAATTTGGTTTCCACTGGTTGCTATGCTCCCTCTCCTCTCACCCTGCCTCTCCCCCTTATCCTCTTTTTTGGCATCCTGCTGGCTCCTTTGCACTCATTTGTTTGGTGGTGGCTGGCATACACATTTGTTGTTGTGTTTTGGTGGTGACTAATGCGGCTGCATGTTCCGTTATCTCATGCGTTCCCCCTCCGCGCTCCCACGCGCTTTTAAGCTTGTGTTGTAATAATCGCTTTTTTGATGTTTGTGTGTGTATGTGCGAATGTGTCTCACGTTTCGTTTGGCGCCATGCGTTCCCCCCAATTTGCAGTTGTTGCAATTTGGTCTAGGCTGCGTTCCGTTTCCATTTTGTTTCCCCCATTATGTTGGGCGCCCTTTTTTGCTTGTTGTTTTTCTTTTTACATGGGCTGCAGTGAATTTGTATGTATATTTCAGTGCCGGCGTTTTTCCGACTTGTTTGTGTGTGTGAGAGCGAGGCAGCTGCTCTCTCCTGGCCGAAAAAGGGGTTCGCTCTCGCTCTCTCATTCTCTCCTGGGCCAACTCTATTCTTATTTTTATGGTTTTCTTTTTTGAGTTGCAATTATTTTGGCTTTGTAGTGGTTACAACAAATGAACTGCATTAAAGCGTCACGATCGTCGCAAAAAAGGGAGAAGAAAAAAAGGGGAAGGAGAAGTGCGAAATGGTTCTGGGAATACGATACAAAAGAAGGTTCTCGTGTGGCCCGTGTAAACAAACACAACCATACACCGATATATGGCCCTCTATAGGGAAAATAACTTCCCCAGCATTTACTCGCGAAACTGATTCGTAAACAATTTCCGCACTCGTGTGTAATATTGTACTCTAAATTACAATAAACCTAAACGAGTCTAACCTGCAGACAATGCATACACTACGAAAAACTAATATGATCAATTTCAAGATTACAGACAAGTCCTTAGGGACTAATTTACTTTTCTCTTAGTGTGCTAATTATTATAAAAATAGACAATATTTTATTATCTCGTTTACTCCTTTAAAAATACTAGCTGGTGATAAGACCGATTTCCTAAGTGACTTTTTTACCACTTTATTTCTTATATCTAGTTTTTTTCTGTGTATGTAATGTACAAATAAATGGCATAGGTGGTTGGCATCCAAAATTGTGACTTCTCCCAGGAGTGAAATATCTTCCACCTTGTCCCATGAATATTGCACAAATCTACTTGAAATACAAAATATCTGTCAGGATGCTGATACTCATGGGTACAGTGGTGCCTGTTGTATAGGAAATAGGAAGATACAAATAAATTGAAATATAAATATTTAGGAAGAGAAATAATATATTTATTTATCAGTCACAATTACACTTGGGAAACAATTATTTTACTTTAAGTGTTTAAATTTTGATTATTGCATGTCTTTTAAAAATGCTCGCTTTTTTTTACCGAGTCTTTACTGTGCTACAAATTTCCAAGGATGCTGCAGACATCGAAAGGCAAACGAAACGAAATGAAATAAAATACACAGACAGTTTGGGGGGCGAAAGGAAATGGAAGGAGGGGGCAAAGGGGAGCAGGGTTCAACAGCAGACAAAAAAGGCAAAGTGGCAATGCCACAAGACGAAGATGGAGAGCACAGCGAATGGAACGGAGAACAAGGAACAGACGGAAACACGGACACGACAACGTGATATTCCAACATCCTGTGCAGCGAATCACGAAGGAGGTGGGGAGCGCCATAAGGCCGGAGAAGACGGCGAAGCAGGAGGCGGAGGAGAGCAAAAAACCTGTCATCTGCTGCCGGCTGCATTCGATGCGGGCCATGAGTAGGGGGAGGGGAAGGAGGAGAGGAAGGAGACTCAGACGCAAAAGGATGAAGCTGCAAGCATTTTTAGAATTCCCAAAATCAACATAAAAACCAACTAAATGAACGCTGGTGGCCAGACAAAATACACAGAAAAAACTAAGGAAACTAAATAACTATTAAATTCAGATGCTGAAGTAGAATATTTTAAGTGCAAAGTAATAGTAACCAGGTTGTAAATAAAATTTTATTTAAAAATGTTTAATATCCCTGAAAGCAAATTTTTCCCTGTGTAGGAAGAGCAAGTCAGAAGGAAGCTGAGACTCGCTCCCCCCACCCCCTCTCCCGCCTCTTTCTGTTTCTCTACGTGCTCGTGATCGCAGCCCAGACGCAGCAGCAGCGACGCCAGCAGAGGGCCATAAAACAAACAAAACCTTCACATGCATTTTTCTCTTGTTTCTCCTTTGTTTAGGTTTCCTTATTTATAGCCTTCGATAGGGTATCAAAATTTCGCAATGTTTAAAAAGGATATCAGGGGTTATAGGTAGAACGGTAATTGGTAAAAGTAAAGTCGGGTTTATATATCCTTCGTCATATCCCCTGTAGTGTAAATAATAAATCAATCCAAGAATTTAACTACAAGTAGTAATTAAATTTTATAAAATCTCTTTTTAAGGAGCTACTTTTTTCAATGTTAATCAAATACTATTTTCAAGTTATAAAAAAAACGTTTACCGGCTGAACTTTATCATACCAACGACCAAAAATCATTATAATATGATATGATATTCAAAGATAAAATAAAGTAATGAAGTATTAAAGTCGTATATTCTGCGTTTCCTGCTTTTTTGGTTCCAAGATATATTAAATTCATAGAATTTCAAAGAGTTGCTTTTGATTTCCGGCCTGTAGTTTCAGGTGAATAGAAAGGGAAATGGCGAGGGGAAAACCACCAGCGATTCTTGTGGTTTGCAATTGAAATGCACATTTTATTCGAGTATTATTTGTACCTCTTTTCACTGTACGCTCGAAGGGATTTGCATAATACCGCCGTAGAGCAGCCGTAAAATGTGTCCGATGCCGTCTGTTGCCATCGCACATATTGCTGATGGGTGTTGATGTTGCTGTTGCTTTCGGTGGTGGTTGCTGCTCGCCTCAAAGGACTCACATCACATCCCCTGTGTGTCCTGCGCCTAGTTTCATTTCATTTTCGTTTCACTTTTTTTTTTTTCTTTGCTCTGTTGCTTCCCACTTTTATTGTTGAACTTTACAGCTGCCGCTTTCATTTTATTTTACTTTACTTTATTTTTTTTTTGTCCAACTTGCATTTTTCCCCTCTCGGTGTGGCTTATTTTTGGCAGGGGTGGTTTTTCACTTATATGGAACTTACAACGGCATTTTGTATGCGTCTGACTTTGATCCCTTTTTCGGGGGGTGGGACCACCGTCGTCTGGCCACCCCCTCGGCAACATTAGGGAAAGTGTCTTGCAAATAAATAAATAGTCATGTCAGCCATATTATTAATGCCCAGGATGGAAGGAAGGAAGGTAGCTTAAGGTCTACGCTCACATGGGTGGATGTGGATGGGTGGTGGGTGACGAGGGGGTGGCGCTAATCAACCCTCTTGGGCTGCCGGCAAAGAAAAGGGGAACGCATCTTACCCCGAAATACAAGAACACCAAATACAGTCTTTACTGGGTAATACGGATTTCTGTCTTGCCAAAAAGTATTATTATTAATATGTGACCAGGTAGTCAAAAAAAAATGATAAAGACAATTATAATAAGGCATATTATATATAAAACATAAGAAAGTGTGGATTTACAAAGTATTCATAGTTTTTAAGATACCAATTAAGTTTTAGCAGTTGTTCTTTAAAAATTTAAAAATCAAAAATAAATTTGAAAAGGGAACATTTACCTTTAAAAAGCAATACACTTTGAGAATCGGCGGGCGTTCACTGTACGCAATATATATTCAACTACGCATTGCTGTCTGTTCGCGTTGGGGTCAACAAACTTTTGGGCCAGCCCCCAGCATCAGTTCTGCGTGCGTGTGTGTGTGCGATTGTGTGGGTGCGTGCGGGAGAGTATTGGTGAGTGCGAAAAGTGAACGATTTTCCAGCAGAGCTCAACCCAAAACCCCCCTGTTAAAAACGGCGGACACTAGCACGTTCTACGCATTTTTGTGCATTGACCCCAGACAGACGGAAGACCTCCCAAACCAGTCCGCCCCCGACCA